TCTGGTGTACTTTTGGTCTTTAAAAACTGTTCTTCTATAAACTTACAAAACCCAACATTAAGCAAGAATAAAATGACACACCTCTGTGTCCTATTCTGCTCTTTTTTGGCTAAATGGTCTCAGGACCTTTAACTCAGTAATTTAGATGTGGATGATTGACACATCATGACTTCAGTGCTGCTTTCCTCTGTAACAGTTTCCTCTTTAAAAGGTTCTTTTCTTCACTCTGACCCTTACCTTTCTGCATCAAGTATGATTTGGACTGAGAGGCAATGCTTTTCTAACCCAGCAGAACTCACAGTTAAGTACCCCTGCAAGGTGCCACAATGCTGTCAACAGTACAAAAAGCAGCACAGGCGCCCACCGGCCAGGTGCATCTAGCGTATGTACAGCAAAGGGAGTGCTGATGTGTGTGAACATGAAACAGCAGTGAGCAGCATGTTCAGATGCCCACAGATACTCAGAACAGCTTGCAGAAGTGGGAAGGAGAAGTGAACGTGCATGCAAACACAGGAATGTCAACACTAGTCAGACCAAAAGCCCTCCAGCCTAGGATGAGTTTGATTCTTCCAGTATATTTTATGGTAAGGCATCATAAAGATTAGGAATTCACTTTTTTCATAACATCTAACAGATACAAATGCTACTTGTACTACCAATAGCCTCATTTGTATTCTCTGAATTTAGCCAAAATAAAAATACTAATGTATAAATTGTAGTTTACAAACAGCAGAATTGCTTTTAAGTATTTGGACTGAGCAATGTGTATTTAAACAAATAATTCAAGAATCAATGAACTCAGTCTGTGCTGTGTTTCAAGCTCACTGTGCTGTTTCCACATGACAGTCTGCCTGCATCATCTGCTGTCTCTAAAATGCAACTAGTGTACCTGGGGCTATAGTTAAGAGCTTACTTCAACGTAACTTCTCAGCCAGAGGCTTATGATGCTGAACTCACTATCATTCAAGCAAATCTCTTATTGACCTACATCTGTCTCCGTAAGGACGTAAGCTGAAACACAAAATGTAGGAAAATAAAACTTACCTGGTTTTCCAGAGAGGCCTGCATACACAGTTCTGAAAACTAGTCTAAAGGGGAAAATCCTCTTTAAACAATAGAATGATTTAAGATACAGAGGTCCAATAGCTATAGTTTCCTAATACTTGTCAATATGTGTTCTATAAATTGAAAGAAAATAGGGGGATCAAAAAGATTTAAAATTAATTCCCATATCAGCTCACAGGATAAACGCATCCAAAAGTAGGAACATATTACACTGTGAGCCTTAATAAATTAATAAATTACTATTCTATTAAGCACATACTACTTTACAGTTGAATTAAGAGTGGTCAGGTTTGGAATTACAGTTGGAGTTATTATACTATTATACTGAGAACAAAAATTTTGTTTTGTATATCTTCAGGGTCAATATGTACAGGTTTTATAGAATTCCAATAAAGTATGTCCCAGAATATCTGAGATAAATATAAACCCCCCCCAATGGTATATCTAATGCATATTTACACAAATTAATTATCTTAGGGAATCTTATGAACAAAACATACAGCACAGTCCCCCAAATATACACTGACAGTGCATCTGGTTTTTCAAGTGCAGTGAGGTGACAATGATGCTCTTAAATCTCTGCCTTCAAGATGTCAAAATCTGTAATTATCAAGGGTCATTGTTCACCTGCTAGGGTGCAAAGAGGACTGGGTACTTTGAAAATTCTGACATATTCTGTTTGCATGCATGTCTCACGTGCAAAACAATGATTTTAACCTCTCAACTCGCAGAATACATGCCATGCTTTTCAGATGCTCTTTCACGATATATCCGTGCCAAAGAAACGTAACAACCGTCACAGGAAGACAACTAAATAGTAAACAACTTGAGCAGCATTTCTACCTGTGCTGTAGAAAAGCAATATCCGCTTCCCCTCAGCTAAGTGGTATGATCTTCGGGAATGCAGGACAAGGAGTGTCAGTATTTAATTATCAAACTTTCTAGGACAGAAACGAGCTACAATAACGTGCAAAACCAGCACATTCCCAGTTAGTCCTGTGCAGTCTGATGATAAATGCAACAAACACTTCCAAAGGAACGAGAACACTGTCTTTGAACCGAAATGCTAAGAAAAGAGCCACGATATCTTGGGAAAGGGTTCTCCTTGAAATGATTCACAGCCAGCAGCAGCACCAGCACTGAGCCACCGGGTTTGTCCCTCTTCCCTTCCACCAAGTCCTACACAGCTGCTTCAGCACTCATCTTAACTTGCCACACATCTTGAATTCATGCCTTCATGAAAGAGGTAGATGCTGAGGCTCTGCCAGACATAACCAAACTCAAGGGCAGCAGAAGGAGAACTCACAACATCCTTTGCAAGATAAGAACTCTTCTGCTGAGCAGCTGGCTTGTTATGTGCATCTTCTTCCTACTCTTCTATGCCCAGGAGTATGGCAAGCTAAGAATCACACTATGAGATTAATGCACTATTCATGCTCTCTTTTAACCGTTCCCACTTAGCGATGACTGGTTTTGCCAGCCTGTTAAACTGCTAAATAACCATTGTACCAGATCCCAGCCGTTTCTTCAATTAGTCCAAGATTGCAAGGCTACAGTGGATTTGAAAGTACTGAAATTAAACTATGAAAACGGTCTCGGTAGTGCTAATCTGGAGGAGTTGGTCTGTGCTGTTTAAAGCCTCTATATGGCCAGTATTTCTAGATAAAGCATACTTTGACAGATAAATACATAATGAACTAGGAAAAAAAAAGTATAAAAAGAATTTCCAAGGCTATGGTCTACCAAGACTAATGACTTAAACCATAGTAGCATAGAAAAAACAGCAAAGCTCAAAGGACCTTTCCAAAGCATTTTTAATTTTTCTATCTGTTCTGATGTTTATTTTCTACTAATGTTGAATGAAGTTTATTTTATTTAAGACTTATCTTGTATTTATTGTATTCAAAATGTATCTGAATCACTGTATCCTTCAGCAAAATATTTACATAAGCTTGTTAACTCCTTATCTGTGTTACAAAGAAAAAAAAAAAGAAATGCTGAACAGGACAAAAGATAATCTTTTCTCCTAGAAAAGTGTTCCGAAATCTTGAATTATTACACAAATTGTAACTACACATAGGCAAATAAAGCCTCAAATTTACTATCACCTCTGAAGAATTATAGCTATCACTGCCCATGTCACCGTTCCACAACAGAGTAACTGAAAAGAGCAGGTGACTGCCTCATCAGCATTACGCAAGTTATTTTAAAGCAGCATAAATGAATACATATAAAGTTTAAAGTTATAAAGAAATAATCAGATTCAAATTCACCATGGCATGAATATTTACATCATAAGCACCCTACAAAGGCCTGCAGCAGAAATTTTTAGCGGTGTCAGCAGGATGCTATTTCTGTGAAGTCCCAATAAAATGGTAGGAGCTCTCTGTGCAGTAGGCCACGGGGGGCAGAAAACACAGCGAGAAGGAACTGAAGGTTGGAACAGAATTCAGCAGCTCCCAACAGCCACATCCATTTAGAATACACCAAACTGTCGAGGCCAACATGGTGGCAAGATAGTATGAAAAAAAAAGCGGTTGCAACAGGAAAACAACTCCACAAAAAAAAACCCCAAAACCCCCACATCAAGAGGAAAGCAACAACAAAAGTAATAACAACCACCCCCCAAACTAAGGGAACACATAGCTTGGACTTAAAACTAGAAGGCTGGCAACGATGGCCATGACCACCTGAGCAAACACCTTCAAATGTTGCACTCAGTAAGACAGGCCAGAATGGGGTTTTGGTGTTTATATTATTATGCCCAGAGGATAGAGGCTCTTGGAAAGTGTAAGATGAGGGTTGATATCCCACTCTGCCTGACTGAATCCATTAGCGCAGAGTGAGATCCTCCATTCCAGGACAGCAGGTTAGCCATCAGGCTGCCAGACATTCAGAGGCAATGCTCTTCCAGCAAGGCTCACAGGACCCTGCTTTGAATGGAGCCCAAGTGTTCCCACGAGAGGCAAAGACTGAAGTGATTATCACAGTCCTGTGAGCTTTAGGAGTCCTTGATGTAAATTCCTTCCCCAAATCAGAGTAAGGATCTGAAAACATGTGCTACCTTCCAGGTGAATGTCCTAACACAGGTATAATATAGAGGAGTTTCACTCCAATCCTTCATGAGAGCAGTTATAGATATCTAACTCAGGAGAGAATAAAGAGTTCAGAAAGCTGAGCAGAAACAAGCTGAGACACAGGAAAAGCTAAGACCCTTAGTCTAAGTGGTCCCTCCTTGGCTTGCTGCCCTCTGAAGCTCCCAATTTATGACAGAGGTGACTGTAACCACTCCTGCCCCTGAAAGGCAAGGTGCCTGGATGCAAAAAGCTGCAACACTGAGTCTCTTTTCTAGCTATGTATCTCAACCAAGGCTTGCAGAAAAAATTTGGGAACAACAGTGATTCATTTTTAACGCCTTTTGTGACACTGACAGGCAGCCAACAGATAGCAAGTTACTTGAAGAGGTGATGCTCTTTTTGAAAACAACATGAGTAATGATACTAGAAAATTTAACTGGCAACCCTTCTATCATTTAGTTTTGTTACACTATCAATGCAAATCCTTCCTAACACCAACTAAAGCCGAAACAAAACCCTTGTCTCATTACATGAAAATCAGACTGTAAATCTGTCTGTAAACCAGAAACTCAGGCAATTTAGTTCTCTCCATGGAATGAGATGCAACAGGACAACCCCCAGAAAGGATTTGTAAGTCAACAAAAAGAAATGTAACTCAGTAAAATTCAAATGGCTAAAAATAGGTCAGAATTAACTGAAATGAATGATAATACAGGCTGCAAACACCAGAACCGGTAGCGACTATTAGCAGAACTGGGTCCCAATACATCTATAATGGTTCCCAAAAAGGCAAGAAAAGCCCATTTCCAGATACAGCTGTAATTTAAACTTGGAAGCTTTGTTCAATTTCATGCTTACCTGACTATAAAGTGCCAAAAATGCATCCATTTCTATATTTTCCAGGAGATCTTCAAGCACTGCGCAATTCCATTGCTCATCTCTCAAGCTGAAGTGAAAGACAAAATTAACATTGAAATCTTCCCAGGCGCAATGACTGTATTACAGGAAACAATATCTGAAAGTCATTCATTCAGGAAGCTTATCTTTCTGTCAGCCAAGTTGGGTGAGCAGCATAACTTCTAAAATAAGCCAACTTTTCCTCCTTTCCCCCCTGAACTGCCAAGCAAACATCAGAGCAGAAATTAAGGCTATGCTCTTGCTCACGATTCAAATCTGGAATCGCTCCAAAGCGACAGTGATTCAACCTGTCCCCATCCTCTTCTTTTAACTTCATCGCCACACTTTATGGCAAGTTGTGGATCTTTTTGTTGCTGGAATATAATATAATAGTGAACAGTTAACTTCCTCACTACTGGTGACCACATCATGAAGCCATCCTTATGTCATTTGGGAAAAGTACAAAAATTTTTTCTTCTACTATGTTTTCAGGTAACTAAGATGACTAGTTGCAGTTTCTCTGAAGGATTCACTGATGTATCCGTACAGTAGTATCCAGTGACTCGCTACTTCTGCAACAGGAGAGTTGTTAATCTACATCAAGCAGAGGTCCAGTGCTTTCAGAATTAAAACAGACTTAAGAGTGCAATAACTCCACTCAAAGCCTATAAAAGCCAACTTTAATATATCAATTGTTCCATGGAAAACTCTCTATATAACGGAAAGCAGCCTCTCAAGATCTTACAAGAACCTTGAAATGTGGTAGGCTTTTAATACTGTGCAATACACATGGAAGTGTAATTTCTAACTCCTGTAACCCTAATGACGGTAATACAATACTTTGCAATGTTGAAAATTATCATCCTTTTTTGCTAGGTAACCTTTTTTTTTTTTATTTTGGTCACCGATACATATCTTTAATTAAAAACTGGCCAGGGAAAAATTGAGCCAGTCTCTGAAGAAGAGTTTATATATCCCATCAAAAACGATTGAATGACAGGGAATTCAGTCTACAATGTGACAGTGCAGATAGAAATGCAATTTAAATTGTCTCAGCTACTTCCTCTTACCCCAGCAGATCAGGTTTCATTGAAGTCCCTACCTATCTTCTTGGGAGATACAGAAACATGATTAAAATTGTTTTCCTCCTTGCTGCTAAGGAGTATTGTTATTTTTCCACTGTCCCCATCAAGAAATGGTGATTGCCATGCCACACATCCCAATCTATATGTAACTAAGTTGTTATTATTTCATGTTTCTTATTTCAATATTCCCAAGACTCCTCAGTTACCCTCTGGGCCACATCACAAAAATGCACTGGTCAAACATAGATGTATAGTCCCTCCCCAACACCGCAGAACCTTTAGCCTGCTTTTCCTCTGTGATATCGTATGGTCTATGAGGACTGCAGTGACTTAGTAAAACATGAGATCAAAGCACTTACCTTTGCTGGTGCAGATTTATATATCGCCTACATTTATTCATGGCTTGTCTTAGCAGAACTGTCACCTGTCTGTCTGCATTCATTTCCACAGCTTCACTAGAAAGTCCCAATCCATCTGGAGCCCACCTCTGCCTACTCATTAGATGCTGCTGCTGCTGGACTGACTCCTTATGCAACATCTCATACTCCAGCTTCCTGTCAAGTTCTTCAGTCTCCTAGAGGTTGAAAACACGTAATGATAAAAAGTCACAATTTAACTTGGAAGAACAAATTTCATTTGGAGTGAAGAAAAAAAGATGTTATCAGAAGTTCTGGTATTAGTTTATTCATTTCTCATTCTACCCAGTCACTTGCAGTCATCAGACTTTCCAATTCATTGCATGGCTCCAGTAACATGACTTGCATGCTATGAATAGCAGAACAATGCTGAAAGATATGAGTCAATTTTCATTGCATTAAAGGTCGATGCTCTCTGAAACCTCCCACTGCAGAGGACATCTAGAAAGTACCCTACCAGCATGGCTGAGATCCAAATAAAAGAATAGCACCATTAGAATTCATCTATAAACTGCATAAAGCCACTGAAACGTCTTGAGAAACTCATCCAGACTGGTTTTACTTATACTGAATCAACAGCTAGTAACAAGAGGTTTGAAGATAAAAGAATAATTCACATTTAGTGTGATAAGAATTAGGGTTAAAATACAATACTCTAAAAAAATCAAAGGGTTCAAAACCAAAGTCTTAAGTGGGCAGGATCCCTCATGCCAAAGATCTCTCTCTGGTCAAAGAGTCAAGCTAGACATCAGAAGGATGGCTTCATATTCCAGTTTTCCAATGTCACTGTAGTCTGACCTCAACAAGTTGCTTAGCATTTCAGCGCCCTACTTCCCAATCTGTAGCTGGGAGAAAACACTGAATTTTAATCTATTCCTCCACCTCATCAGCTGTATCCAGACTAGAAATTCATGGGAGTATGGCATGTCTAAGTATCTGCTCCCCAGTCAGCAAGATTTGACATTGGAACTTAGATCCACTCTCCTAACACCATAACCGAACATTAACCGGCTGTCTCTAAGGGAATGAAGCAAATTCATACACAACCAGATGTGTCTGTGCCACCGATTGGCAAAACTATCACTGATGCCAGCATTAGGGAATCCTGTGTAATCTGATAGATTTGTTTTAAAGTAACAGATGTTTAAATTTGCCAGCTAGTGTGACAAAGGAGCAGAAATAAAACACAGCAAGAAAGGTCTGATCACCAGGAGACAGTCCCCGTACACCAAACCTAACAGACACTCTAAATAGTGCCCAATTCTTTTTTTCTTTTTCCTCCCCCAAACAGGGCTCAACTCAGTTCCTGCACACTGGCTAAAGACTCCAGTGCTAGCTACTCTAGATCTGTCTCTTCTTCAATCCTTTTTCTTCATCTGTTCAGGGACAGAGAAGCTAAAAGCAACCTCTTTGCAGAGCCCTCTTACAGTTTCTGCATAAAAGGCAAGATTATATTATTTTTAATACTCTGTCTACACAGAACTTCCACCATTTCCTAAAGATTTAAGATAAATTTAAACAAAACAGGAGGCACATAAGCGTTCTAACTGCTGTTCTAAGAAAAACTCTGTAGAGATGACAACATTAAAATTTAACCAGGAGTTTTCACAGCAATAGCTGTCTAATGATGCCCTCTAGCAAAGAGGTTTTGCTCTTAAAAACCCATTTTGTTTGTTCTACTCCAGTGCTTTCCCAAGTCTCACTTGGATGGCTGCAAATAGCAGACGTAAAAAAAATATCCCTATGAATACAGAGCACCATAGTATTAAAAAAGGATTAGAAAACTGGCACATATCAAGTATGTAATAAATATGATGAAGGGAAGAGACCTTTCTAAAGTTTCTACTATTTGAACTGTGTGAGCGTGCTTGGAGTGAGATAGGAGAGAGAATATGTAATCTTTAAAAGCTCAATGATTGAAGCATATCGTGTGGTTATGGATTTTACCGTATGGATAGCATTGTAACATGAACAATTTTGTAACAGTCGCGACAATTTACACACCACCCCAGTCATGACTTACAATCACTTCCTAAATGTCTTCCTTGTGATCAATAAAATTTTAATATTAATTAGCCACCAAAATACTGCTCTTTCTGACTGGAGGTCTCTGGATGCTACTAAAATAAAAATAAATTACAATAATAATACACAATCTTCCCTGGCTCTAACACTTTCCTTCTCTTTATTTCTTTTACTGAATGCATTTAAGTGCACATAATTACAGAAATTAAAGGCCAGACCACTAGGAGCTGCAAACCATCACAGCTAAATCAAAGTCAAATAAACTACTGTGATAGTTGCTGTCTCCTAACAGGAATTTTTCCTTTTCACAACTTCATTACTTACAGGATTATGTGCTTCTAAAATCTGAATACATTCCAATTTTGACAGGGTTTTCGATGTGCTCAGTTGTTCAAAGAGCAAAGCTTGTATGCTTACGATAGCGGTATACAGCTCCAATATTTTGGATTTTTTAACGGCCTTTTGAAAGGCTAAAGAAGCAATATACTCTCCAAGTTTATTTTCCAGATCGCGCAGCTGACGCTCTTTCTCAAGCATCAACTCGTGCTTAACCTAAAAAATACCAAACCACAAAAGATAACAAGATTAACAGAAAACTTTACGTGCATGCTCATGATTTTACGGCTCCGTAATTAACAAGCAAGATTAAAGCAGGAAAGAAATCAATGCCATTATCTTATAATGTAATACGTTGTTTTAAAAAGAGTGCTTTTAACATTAAATTCCATAAAATTACTACAGTAAGGTCAGATATTTCAAACAGATCAGGCTTTGGTTTAGGGTAGCCATAACTTTAATATTAAATACTAACCTTAATGGGTCTATATAATTTTTAGTATAATAAAACTAAAAATTAATAATATAAATATAACTATGCTTACTTATGTGATTGGTTGAGAAGACAAAATACATCCTTCTGTTTAGCAAAAATCTGAAGTTTATAGAAAGACTGTATTTAGTTTCAAATTGGCAAGTGTCAGTTAATAGTGACCAATAAAATTCAACCTACTATTCTTTAAGCAAATAACCAAAAATCTTCTTATATAAAAAAAGTTAAACTGTAAATCAAAAGTCTACTGGTAATGGATTTAAACAAGATTAAAACCAGATTGAATGGACATCAAACAGGATTAAATCAAAAGCATTTAACTCAATAACTATGTTGCTGCCAAGTATCTCATGGGACATCCACAGAAACTATCCAAGGGTGAAAGGCAAGCACGGCGTGTGCAAGCACATGATCAAATGCAACGTGATTGATGAGCTCTCCATGCTACACCACTGACATTCACAGCCAGTGATACTGCCGCTGTGACCATTTTTCTGCAGGACAATGTGGATAGCAAACAGGTCCAATCACCCTATTTAGATGCTTCCCTCTGAGCTTGTCACTCTAAGCTCCCTTTGTAGTCAGAGCAAAGGAAAAGGTACTTCTCGGTATGTTTTGTATCCTAAAAAATATGATTGCACTGATGTGTAAGTGTGAATGTCTATGTTAGACATTGATGGCTGCACATCTAACATTTGGGTAGCTGAATCCTCAGAGAGAACAAATAATTATCAGCTTGGTTATATTCCCTGTATGCTATCCACATGGGCCCAGAAGTTGGACTGCAAGAGAAAGAAAACACAGAGAAAGCTCACACAACCATGAGAGCTCCAACTCCATTCCTTGGTGTTGATATCAACTGCTGCCCTACACACTGGATCTAGAATAAAGCTAAGCACAGAAACAGCCCATCTATGACACTGCCGGGTATCAGAGTGCAGGGTTTTTCTCACTCCATCTCTAAATTATCTTCTGGTCCTGAATAATCTGATCTGATAGGTTTCACAACAAACAAACAAAAATGTTTTCAGAAATCAGCATTTTCAGAAGTTTCCAGTACTGTGAGTTTTAACCCAAGTAACTACCACCTGCCTCTCAATAGAAAAACCAAAGCCATGAAAGGAGACTTCTCAAATTTTTTTAAATAAATTTTGGTAAAGTTTACTATGACAATGGCACCTGAGAACAGGTACTTACATTTGCATTCTATAGCAAAGTATTTATCCCATTAAGTTTGGCCTCTCTCAAAGAAAGGCAGAAATGAGCATCCTTATTTAACTGAGATACCTACATGGTAGGTATCTTAGCATGGTAGGCATCCTGTGGTATACATTTACATATGGAGTCTTAATCTCTCTACAGTTTTACCAGTCTATAAAATAGGAATAATAAAGACCAATAGTAGTTGCCCTGCCTGCATGAACTACAACACTTTAAAGGTCAACTGTAGACTTTAGACACTATTTGACTTCCCGTCAGCACAAGACTTGATTTTGCCCCTCAGAATATCTTTGCACAAATAAATAGATTCGGTACTCAAGACAATAAAACCTTATCAGCTTTATATTCATGCTAATCAGAATTATACATCATTGACTAAATTCATGATTAGCTTTAAAGGAGCATTTAAGGAGATTTCCACCAAGTTTTTGATCCCTAAGATGATAAACAAGTAACATGATGCCCACTAATTTTCTCTGGAAATTTTATTCATGAGAGATTTTATTGCATATTATACAAATTCTATTATCCAGTACATAGAGTTAATTTTAAAATGTGGTTTGGAACCAAATATGCTTGTAATATTCTCATGCTCATGTGATATTCTCCAAAGTCTCCATTACATCATCTGGAATGTCCTTGAACACAAGAGATGGAAGATTAGCTTCAGGAAATATTTCCTACTAATGTGAATTAAGCCAATTATAAGACAAGAGTAAGAAATCATCCTACAGACACAAAGTAGAGGCAAGATTCATTTTCGTGATATTTTTAACAAACCTCCATCTTAAAAGACAGACATTGTCTCTCAACATTACTGTTAATCTAACAAATTGTTCTTGAATAATCTAGGTGTGTGACACTAAATAATAAGTAACAAATAAATATATGGTATATTTGAGTTCAGAGAAGTCAACTCAGAGATCATACTGGAAATATGGTAACCAAAATGCTAAAAACTAAGCTGTTATTTTTAAACATATTTTAAACATAAACAATAACTAAGTTGTTATTTTAAACTGGAGGCAGAGACCTCCAGTGAAAAGCAAAAGAGATGGACAAAACTGGGAGTTTATGGAAAAAAAGCTGAGCTGCCTTCCAGTACTTGTTCAAAAAAAGTAGAGGGCATTTACCTCAGGACAGATCCACAAACGTTCATTGCTCATTTCTATGTTTCTGCTTTCAGTAGGGAAAAAAAATAGGTTTTTTATCTCTATCTTCTACATTCTTTGCAGACAGGCAAGAAAGCTATAGAAGTGAGTTTGAGGCCTTTATTTCTTCTGTAGAATACTTCTTACTGAAAAGCAAGTAACTTCAGCATCTCCCATTTAAGCTCTCAGTCCAGCAGTTCACAGGCATTTGAAGGTGCACACTGTACTCCAGCAGCACCAATGGGAAATCAAAAGATAAAAACTTGCATAGAACATTCTACAAGTCTTGATATAGATTGTACAAGACTGCCAATCCCACCCTAACTCAAGGGTTTTTTTGTTTGCTTGGTTTATTTATCTTGTCAAAGCAAATTTATTTTCAAAATCCAAAGTGTTATTTCAAGATAGTCTTATGAGCCAGTGGCGTAAGACTAAGGCCTAGAAGCAAGACTATTCCACACCTCAGTACCAAGGCAAATATATAAAACAAAAATAATTAAAAAAAAAAGTTTATCTTCAAAAGCCTGTGCACAAGACTCATCTCTGAAATAGGACTCAAATTTTTGTTTGGAAAGGCGCATAAAATTAGTTGTTATACTACTGAGCACTGTGGCACAAGACAATGTTCTCAAAAGCAATTAGCAATTTTCAGAGCCATATTGCCCAATTGTCCAATTTTTTAAAAGTCTCAGTTCTGAAGTTTCCATTGACTTGCTCTCACCTCTCTTTCAGCAGTGAAAGTTGTTGCAGTCTAGGTGATTCTTAAACAGAGGATGGAATGGAAGCGAGTCCTTAAGAGTAAAACAGACAGGTTACCCAATACCAGAAGAAATAGCTTTTAAAGGAAAGCACGGAATTTATATCCGATTCAGCCAGCCACATAATACTTCGCTAACAACGGCTGCTGTCTAGCAAGGGGTTCAGGGAGACGCATCGCTACAGCAGACATCACTTTAAGGGGCAATTCATGTTAGAAATGAACCAGGTTGGACAACTAATGGTACAAGTCACCTTTCAAAACTTTGGCAACATAGATTTTCGAGTTTACTTAAAAGCAGGAAAATGAAGATGGATGAGAATAAGCAATGTTTTTGTTGCAAGACACTGAACGATTTATATTACGATTTTCATTACAACAGCATTTATTCAAGGAATGGGGAAAAAAATTCAAGCAGACCTACCTGACTAGAAGTAAATAGGTCCATTTTCAAAATGACTAATGCTTTAGAGTCTATATGATGCTCCCTATTGAACACATTAGGGCAGCTTCTTAACTAACAGAAATTATTACGACACTACTAGCTTGAATGAGTTATGACAACATACACACACTGAGGAACTCGTTCTTTCTTCCAGCTTTTATTTGCATGCATAAGATATTGCCTGCCAGAATACGCACATTTTTACAGTATCTCAAAAAGGGGAAAATATATGCTTGAGGTATGATTTGTTTTATATGACATGAAATTAGTAAGTAATATCTGAAGCCTGCCTTTGTGGTTTAGGAACAGGATGTGCTACAAACCTTTAAAAATGCAGACAAAAAAAATTACACAGAAATGTTTTGACAGATATGTGCACACAGCTGAATTTAAAGTTTGCTTCGTCACATGAGGCTCAGTTTCAGACACAAGGATTTTAAATGAATTATACATATATGAAATCTGGGGATTGGTGAATGAATAATGAATAGATGAATGAGTAAATGAGTGATCACCTTTAGTGTAAGTTTGAACCCATTAAAATGAATAATGAATAAGGATCGAAATGCAGTTTGACAATTGAAGTTCACTTATAAGGAGACACAAGAATGTATACATTAATTGCAGCTGAATTCAAAGCCAACAGAGATGCCGCTGATGACAGGAACACTTACACTTTTGTTAACCACTTCAGATAACAGGGGATTTATATAATATGTTCAGTATATTCCATGAATCATAAGATGTATGGTCCAAACTGCAAAACTAGACACTATTTGCATATTACTAACTACCAAGCCATACATTAAGCATGCCCAAATACAAGGGCTGGACCACCTCTCCTACGAGGACAGGCTGATAAAGTTGGGGTTGTTCAGCCTGGAGAAAAGGCGGCTCCGGGGAGATCTAATTGCGGCCTTTCAATACTTAAAGGGGGCTTATAAGACAGATAGGGACAGATTTTTAGCAGGGCCTGTTGAGATAGGACAAGGGGTAATGGTTTTAAACTGAAAGAGGGTAGATTTAGACTAGATATGAGGAAGAAATTTTTTTTACAGTGAGGGTGGTTAAACACTGGAACAGGTTGCCCAGAGAGGCGGCAGATGCCCCATCCCTGGAAACATTCAAGGTCAGGCCAGATGGGGCTCTGAGCAACCTGATCTAGTGGAGGGTGTCCCTGCATGGGGGGTGGACTAGATGACTTTTAAAGGTCCCTTCCAACCCAAACTATTCTATGATCCTATGATTCTATGGGAGTCATGTTCAGTTTTATCATTCAGCATCTATTCAACATTATACAGTAAATGACCTGCTCTTAACCAAACAAAATGTTGCATTACTCAACCAATAGTACTGTCTACCCCTAGCCACCTGAGTTTCTTCCTGCCTTGTCAGCTCTGAAATCACAGCTCTGCAAACTAAAATACCTTTGTGAAAACTCAAAGCTTGCAAGTAGACCTGACTTCAGTGTGATGTAGAAGGTGATTTCAGTAGAAGCTGGATCAAATATTGATTACAAACTAAATTATATACTAGTTATAAACTAAGATCTCCCGGCCGTTCTTGAAGCCTTTTAACATACCAAACAGAAGACTGTAAAATACTGCTTGACATTGTGTTATTTGACATAATACTATTAGAGCGTCAAACTACTTTGGTTATGATGAATCCACTCCTGTAGGTCTGAACATTTGCTGCTGATTCCACTGCAAAAAAAATTGCCAATGCTGTAAATTCACTATGATTAGTCCATTGCTTGAAAGTACTGACTTCTAAATCCCATATTTAGTTCAGACTAATTGCTAACTAGTGTTGTCTCAGTCCTAAATATAACAGATAAAAGGAAAATGTACTGGATTATGTGCAACCCCAACGACATTTCTCATGCAAGCGTTATTATTGGGTTTTTTAAGCCTGCCAGGGAAAAATAGACTAAAGAATGTCAGTATTTTTACCACTGTGTTTCTTCCGAGATAGGTAACTGCTATTCCAGAAAGGAACAGCTACTTCCTCACACACAAGACAGCTCAAAGCAGCTATGAAACACAAAAAAAGTAGATATAGTCTGCTTTTGAAGATTTTTCACAGCAAGGTCAATGATAGTCTCAGGTGTTCCAAGAGTAGGCTTCAAACTTCTTGCCATGACCTCCCAGGACTACCTACGAGTTGTTCTTCTCTGTCGTGCCTGTTTTACAGTATTACAAAACACATCCCACTGGTGCTTTCCTGAGCATTAGCTGGAAACCATCTTACAGCCTGTAGCAAGACAGAACCCACACCACCATGTGAAGTCTCCAGAACAGCAGCAGTGAAGGCAGGAGAAATGCAGCAGAGCTGTGTTGCTCCGTTCTCCTTTTTCCCTGCCTTGAATTGGCTGTGCAACTTCAGATGGTTTATTTTGGGTGAGATGATAGAAGTGATCACATTAATGCAAAATTTTGAGGCATAAGATTCTAAATGAGGAACGAGGTAACAGATTGCAACAGCCAAAAGAATGAATCTCTACTTCTGTGATCAACATAAGGTTCATTGCAATACTTCTGTCTTCTAACGATTATGTGAGAACTAACGATTTTCCTTAACAATATTTCAGCTTCCTTGTTGGGAAAAGCCCAAAGCGTTTAGCTTTTTATATCTACTATGCAGCCACATAATCGGAACAACAACAGGTATGCCAGATGGTACACATAAAACTGAAACAATGAGGGCTAGCGAAGCTAACTGTCCAATTTAAAAACAAGATTCCAACAAACATGTAAGGCAATATTCATAGAAAACAAGTATTCAGTACTTTTTGTAGCATAAGAGCTTAGCCCATACACCATTGTATTTTCAAGTAACAGTACCAAAAAAACCCAAAAAACAACCACCTAAATTTTGGAGATCAGAGCATTAGGTATCAAAGCCAAAAGTTTAAAGCCTCCATTGAAGGATGAGGGCATTCTTGGACCAGAATTATTAAATTATTAAATAGTGCCAGAGCACACTTGTCCACTTGTCGCATTCTTGCCCAAGCATGTGCTCTCATTTCCAAAGACTGGGTGCTGGACTAGATAAACGTTTGCTTTTATCGTCTGCAATCGATACTAACAATGTGTTGCTTTCACCTAAAAGAAATTATTTCTGAATAAACATGTTGATCCAGTATTTTTCATTCCTCAGGACACAAGTATAAAAAGCAGAGGAAAGACGCGTACAGAGTTTTGTCCAAATTGGTATTAAAATTGATAATGCAATTATTTCTGAAACTAATCTTACCTACGAATTTTAACTACCAAAGGCACCTGCTTGTTCTCCATAGGTCTTATAGCCATGCACCACCTATGTCCAACACGATTAGCACTCTAATGTTCCTCCTGATATACAAAAGTAACGTTACCCATATTTTACAAGTGGGAAAGAGAAGAGAAAGGTTAAAGAACACAAAAAAGACGTCACTGAACATCTACAGAGAAGGAAAAAGCCTCCAAAGTGGCACATTGGCATTGGCACCACTCATACCTTAAGGATTAACTTAAGACTGGGGCTGTGAGACTTTTAAAAGATACCCATCAGAATCAAGGCTCCCCTTCAATAAGCTGCGTACAAATAAACTCAGCCCCTACCCCAGAAAACCTCTGGATCTAAGAGCCCATTTCTGGGTTTTCAGTCATGTTAGGAGAGGTCCAAGAACCAAATCTTGCTCAACTGATGTACACAGTGAAGCACCTTCCGTGTTTGGAAAGTCTTACTAAAAAAACCGCAGGATCTAGGGCAATCTTGCAATCACGTATACGCCAAGCCCCAGAACCACCGAAATTAAAAAGGGTGAGACATGAAATGAGTTCTGTAACTGAGGTGCAAAAATTAAAAGGAAGCCAAAACTACTAAGTTTGAAATACACCATCTCGACAAATGCAGTCAAAAATAGAGAGATGCATCATGCCAGTACACTTTTTTATCTGGTTCTTATTCACATTGATAGAAAACTGTCATTTTTTAATTACTAAAGATCTAAGTTTGACCTCAGCACAGAAAAAGTTTGCACTTACCTTATTAAAACTTTCGTCTTTCACTGAGTCTTCATAAATTAAAATTTTGTCCTGTAAAGATTTCTTCAGGATATCTATCTTATTTCTATTCCTGGATCCTGGTTTTTTTGTTTTAGAATGCTGCTGTAAGAAGATGAGCAGAAAATGCCTTATTTGAAAGAGGTATGTGAGGATGCTAACATTAAGATTATTTCGTGCTATTATTGGCAGATCCAACAATTAATGAAACATTTGGTAAGGATGACTTTCACTGAAATGAAGGTGCTGACTATTGATTCAGAAGATTCCTTTCAGACATTCAAAGTTGGAAATTTCGTTTTTATTTCTTTCAAGCAGAATTATATATTTGTCCTTTCCATGAAAGCTGCTGGCACATAAATTTGATTTTAAACAAGCTTTAGCAGAGATAGTAAGAGAAGATTTTAACTGATATGTTGTCTCCTCAGCACAGTTAAAAATGAACAAAGAATATTAATTTAAGAACTACATTGTTTTCAACACACAGTATATGAATCACAAATGAACCATGAGAGTATTAAGGGGCACCGTTCCATGTAATCAAATTATTCTTGACCTTTATATTTCTTTACAAGAATATCAACTAAGTATAACGTACTCTTGGGGAAATGATAACATCTGTTCAACTATAAGGCTTTGCAAAGTCATTTCCCTTCTTTAGTACTTTAGAAATTATTAAGGTTCTGAACTAGGCTAATTCCTAGTACAATTAACCCAAGTTAGTTTACGCATTTAGAAAACATAACTGAACAACAACTAAGCCAGGGGAAGTCCTCCTTTTTTTGATGGTATTGGATACAATTCATACAGGGGACACTTTTTTCTTCCTATTTAAGAGGAAGAAATTATTGAAAATAATTTATGATTCCACAGGTTTTACATTTTACTGAAGGAATTAAACATCCCACACCCCTTTCCTATATGAACAAGACAGTGTAGGACATTTCCCTAAAAAACCTCCCTAAATCTTTCCTTGATTTAGTGCCAAATCTACTAATGTGTAGAGGCTACCAGAGAAATCTCAGTTTGGGCTGTAAAGGACCAAACTTGTCTCTGACATCCAGAGCCAGGCTCAGCACTGCTCCAATTTTTGGCATTTAGGTTGGCTGTCCTCAGAGATGCGGCCCCTTTTGGCCACCTGTCTGCTTCTTTATATCTACGTCTTCTGTTTGGGAAAGCTGGAGGACAAGCAAGCAGCAGAAATACCAGGTGTATGCGAAGAAAGTATTTACTCAACTGTTACCCAAGTATCTTTAAGGTCCACTGATCCACACAGACAGGAGACACATGCATCGCTGTCACACCTACGGAGAAGCTATGGACCTGTATCTGCAGACGAGGTCAACAACCTGCGGATACACCCATGAACCCCTTGCACATCCCCAAGTGATCCCACGTCATTCCCACCTGTTTATTGCTCATTGCTAAATTCTGATCGACTTTCAGCAGTTCTGTGTCCCTCCGCTCCACCTCGAATACCTGAAGCAAGGTTCTTGCTCTTATTTTGGGCCAAGCCAAGCTGTTGTCCACCTGAGAGAAGCAGCAATGCAGCTCTTGCCTCATTCTAAGCAATTCCTCTTCTGATAGTGAGAGGGGTAAACTTAGAAGCTGCCTGTTAGAAAAACAAAAGCCATTTGCTGTTCAGTGATATAGGCGATTTTACAGAAAATGTAAGAGACATGCACACAAATACTTTACATGACAATGATCATCATTTTTTGCCTTATTCATATATCAATTAATGAATCCACACGTAGGATTGAGCTGCTCAGCATGTTCAAGATATCCTTGAGGACACTTTAAATTCTGCATACAGAACTTCCTGGACTATAAAACTTCATTTTCAAGAAGAAATAGTTTTTGAATGTGTAAAAAAAATAAATACTTTTTAACACATTTCCTATGCACAGAATCCTTCCACCTCTTCAGATGATACAAACCCTGAACTTAGAGCTGAAACAGAGATAAAAGCTTCCCGTAAAGCCTCCCTGTGCAGTTTCCAAGCACTTAGCAGTCATGGCTACTGAGAGGAGAAAAAAATAAAATAAAAAAGTCTCCCTTTAATATAAACTCATGCATGTCATCCCTCCCATCACCAAGTCACAAGGGTTCCAGCTGTTCTTTGTAAAAAAGGCTTTTAGCAGTCTGAACAACAGAGAATATATTTTAGCAGTAATTTGAATCACTCAAAGTTCCCATTTTGTAGAAGGAAGGTTCTCAACATAGAAGTCTGGGGAACTGATCCACAGGTCAAGCTGAAGTTGATTTAAAAATAAAGCATGCTAAAGCCTAAATTCATCTTCCAGTTGTGACTAACCTTAGACTACATTCATCTTCTTATCTTGTGACTGAAATACTTCCTTGAGAGTATTTAATTAAAAAATAGCATTTTTTTTTGTTTGGAAGTTTTCTCTATTCCTCAAAAAATGTATTTGTATTTAAACCATGAACAGCATATTTTTTAAAAAAGTAGTTTTCTTTTAAAATATATTATACTGTATGTTCCATTAGGATTGATGCTTTTATTCAGTATGTCACAGGCTAATACAACCTCATCATTTCAGTAAATTATTTCTGACTTTAGAAATCCTTATTTCTGTTTACTGATTCAGCAAAGTATAGCTAAATCTTAAATTCAAACATTTTTAATGCATAAAGTTTCTCTCTTCAAAAAATTACTTACTTTAAGGCAGTATTACTCCAAGCAAGCATTTACAGTATACTTAATCATTTCTCATACTGTCTTAGATTTTCAAAAGAAAATTCACGCTATATATCCATACGTACAGATATAAAGACAGAGATATAGAAGAAAATGCAGCAAATAACAGTTTTGTCATGACTGTGTTTAAAAAAGGACTTTAAGCATTAATGATCTTCATATATACTTTAGGCTAACTTGTGGTCTCTTTGATAAGTAACAAAAATGAAAAGCTATCATTCAAAATAATTCATTGTGAAAACCAGATAGCAGATGAGAACATAAACATGAGAGTTGGCATCTGTCATTGAAATATCAAAATTGACAGACTGGGGACTGAACATGACAGCGAGAGATTTTAAGGGGCTTTTCATAGGACAGTTGTGTGAATTGTATATATTTTCCAGTATTTTACTGGGAAAAAAAATCCCAAACAGCTTACTGTTGCTGTAAATAAAGATAGCATCTAACAAATACAACAGGCAACACTGAGGGCTGGAACACAATTATCATGGAATTGTAAGTTCGAAACAGGAAAGACTTGCCAGGTCATGCAATCTACTGCCCTGCTCCTGCAGGTCTGCTCTCAGATAAGATGACAAGCCAGAAAATACATTCACGTGGCTTATAGAAAAGTATTTAAAATGCTGAATAAAATACAAAGCCCTTGAAATTAGAACCAAAACAAGACACAAATGGATTTTTTTTTTTTCTTTAACAAAGCAAATGTAATGGGCAATGTTTCTTTTTACTTTCCTGTTATATGGTTCTACACTGTGCAGCAGGCAAAGATGTTGTCTGGACAAAACTGCCCATGCAAATCTGTTCTGCTTTAAAGAAGACATATGAAGGAAAACCCTCTACTAATGTTTTGTGGGGGTGTTTTTTTTCCCCCCCTTTTCCTCACCTCCCCTCCCCTCTGTTCAATCTCTCATGCCTGGTGCATTTGCTCCAGGGACAGAGATCCTAATACAGGTTTGTCTGTTCAGCTGCTTCCACTAAAGCTGCAATTTTGACAGCAGACTATTTTTTCATGTTCCCATGTTTCTAACAATGACTGTTATTAAATAGACATTTTAGAGTTAATGTGGTCCCGTAAATATTCCAGCAATACAACAACTAGTCGTTTTTGTACTTGAAAGCTAAGAAGAAATGCTAACGAACAGTGCCAATCTCTCAGGGACCAAGTCTCACGCATGGAGCCCATGAGCTGTGTATTTATGGAACATGTGGAAATACTGTGGCAGAGCTTAAAACAAACCCGATGAGTAAGGTTTGACTTGTGGCTGGAAGGAATATATTGAAATTGGATGTGGGGCTAATTAGGCCTGACATACTAGATGACATTTCCAAAGTGCCGGACCTCTGAGAACAGGCTGAGAATAATAACGAAAGATGTGCAAGTGAAACCTGACACGGAATGAATGGAAGTATAAAACCACCACTCCATGGTTTTGGTTTCAAAATTGTTTCAAAACTGGGATTTCCACTGCAGTGCTCACCCGCTAGTACCACAGAGGCTGAACGCTTGCAAAAAATTCAATTCCCAAGTACCCAACAGAGAACTGATCATCAGGAATTATACCCAGACAGGTGTGAAAACTCCTAATTCACCTCTATTTGCAATAATAACTAAGGAAAGGGTGAAGAGAGATACTTGCATGAATACTGATTGTTCCCAGCTCCTTAATTTTTTTTGTTCCAAAATGCTCGTTTCCAGTTCTTGGCTTAGCTTCTGCCTGGTAAGCTGAAGCAGCTCTTCAGCAGCCATGCTCTTGTCACGCTCTACATGTTTAACAACCATCTCTTTTTTATGTTCCTCCACAGCTTCTAGCAGGAACATCTTTGGCACATTGAGCTTGACCAGTTCTTGCACAAATACTCCACACTGAACACGTTTAAGCTCTTCAACAGCTTTCTCGGTTAGACTGAATAGAAGCTCTTTCAGCTCTTCACTGGCCTCGTTGTCAAGCTTTTCAGTCAGTTCTTCAAATTCAGTGGTGTGATCACTCAGAAGATTTTTCCAGTTGCTCAGGTAGTAAGTGATCTCCTTAGTAGTCCTGAAGGGGTCTCCAAGTGACAGCTGCTCCTTCCAATGCTCTTTCTGCCGATTCATTTGCCAAAAGAAGGAACAAGGTTAAGAGAAGGAACGTCTCAAATTCTAGCTCTTTAAGTATGTATTTTATAGTAATGAAAAATTTCATACTTTTGTTTTTCAGTGTTCTCAAAACTGCTTTTCAGTGTCCAGAGACTTACCTAGCCCTCAACATGATGGCTCTGTGTGCATCTATCAGGCCTGTGACCCCTTTGGACAGGTTAGACTAAGTAGAGGGGCTTCACAAGTTCATCCAGTTACATTACTTTCCTGCAGGTTTTTCTAAAAGAACAGCTATTGATTACTGCATAATTAACCACAGCACATGGTGGTACACAGCTAAAACCAACGGACAATTATTTTCATCCGTGCTCCTGGCACTGTGACCCCTGCCACAAGAACTACACTTTATTTTTCAATTCATTCCATTTTTAATTCATGATAAGCCCTGTGAAAATAAATATACTGAAAATAATTACCTTTTGCAGCATTTCCCGCCTTCGCTTTGTAACGAGTTTCTGGCGAAGCTTTTGCTTTTCTTGCTTTAAATCATGATTGAATTTGTGTTTAACAGAATTAATTTCAGCCTCAGCTCGGTCCAGCAGCATTCCCAAATGACTTTCAGGTAGATGGCCTGCTCTGTAATAACAGTATTTGAAGCCTGTTATCCCAAATTCTTGAGAGCAAAAGGATATTTGAGGCAACTAGTGCCATAATAAGGCTCAACAAAGTAGACACAGAGAAAGATTTTTGTTTCTTTAGCAGTGGTACCTGGGGGGATCAAACAAGCAAGCGGATAACAGACAGATAGTTTCAGAGATGAGTGCAGAATTGAGGCAGTTTGTGAAGGTTGAGTGAAGGTGTACGAGGAAGGAATGGGAAGAAGGAAGGAAGGGAAAGCAAATACAAACCCAATTACATTCAGTTAGCAATGGAAGCGATATTCAAATGAGACATTTTAAACCTTACATATTATTCATAATATTTACATTTTTCATTTAATGCCCCGGAATGCAATTGTAGATGTCTTTTATAACTCCTTCTCTTCATTAGAAACAATTTTCTCTTTAAAGGAAGCAATCTAATCAAGTAAAAACAATTAAAAATTATTTTAAAGATACAAAGCAATCACATCCATGAAAAGATTTATATTCAGATTTCCTATTACATTTACATAATGAGAAAAACTATAATGATCTCAAACTAATAGTGAAATACAATAATCTAACAGAGCAAATTCTCAGTCTTAAGCACACAGTGCTTTCAAATGGAAGTGTAAGACTATGGTCTGCCTCCAGTTGCCACAGTATTTAATTTCAAAGAGTAAGCAAAATCCCAACCATGCCTGCAACAGTTAGAAAAACCTCCCTCTCCACAAATTCAAACTGAATTTCAAAAATTACCTGCTATTATATTTACACCAGAAATTCCCCAATCTTTCTCAGGCAACAGAAGAATAAAAGAGCATCTTAATTTGGACCAGGCTGTTGGACATCTGTGAGTTATAATTCCTAATATTAAGCACAGTGGATTTCCGAAATGCAGGGTGAAAAAGGTCAACGTGGAACTTTGAGTAGAAAGCACCAATTCCTGGCCTGAACTTGGATGTTATCCAAACACCTTCTGGTTTATTTTTCAAACCCCCTTTTTTCAGAAGACATGAACATTACACACAGAGCCTGGATTCAAATGAATCCAGGGCTTCCAAGTCCCTGTTCCGACATGATAACCCGGCTCAATTCATCAACTAGAGTAGCAGCTAAATGTTGCAAGCCCTTCTCCAGAAAGGACAGAGTCTCATTATGGTTTATTAGGATTTGTTGATACTCTAACAGCTTAATTCCAAATAAAATCCTCAATATAAAAGCTAAAAGAAATAAAACAGAAGATTAATCTTTAGCTTGGTTGGAGCCACTGCACCGTAACCATGGTGGCCAGATTCCACAATTCACACCTCTCCATCCATGCTCAAGTATCCACAAGTGTCTGAGCAAGCCATGAATCACCACCCCCAACATAATGAATATGCGGGATGGAAACTCAGATCTGCTTTATCACACAGTTATGTCAACCTGAGAGCCTCCTTTTGCAGAGCTTTTCCAATGTCTAACTATTATATTTATTTAATCTTCTGCAAAGAGGATTAAAATACCTTTTAAGTAGCTTGAGAGCAATCCACCAAGCATCATTCTTGAATCTTTTGGCAAAGTCATTTTTGCCTTGAAAGCAATCACTGTTAAATGTCATTGTTATGTTAAAAAAAACAAAAACCAAACAACTGCCAACCAACCAAAAACCAGCACCAAATTTTCCACCTATGTTTAGTAACTCTGTCTTGCCCCCCATTTTGATCAAACCCAAGGCAAAAGATTAGTCAACAAAAGGTAGAGGAAGTGAGACAAGATAATAACCAAGATATTTTTAACACCTTCACCCTGTCTTGTACTGAGGAAATAAACCAGGCTTGCTGCATCCAATTAAAATCCCTGTCCAAAGCAGTGAAACGGGGCTGCAAAAGAAAAAGATACATGTGCTGGAACCATCCAGCAAATGAAAGATACGGGAAAAACCACGCAACATAGAATGACTGGAAGATGATATATACCCACCTATTTTAGGATGGGAAAAAAAAAAAAGTCTACATTATTTCAGTTTCAGGTTGTTGATTTCTTCAGAGATCCAATATGTTCACAGGTGATGCAGTATTGTAAAACCTATCTGCTTATCTATTTGGAATCTACTTATTTAGAAATCCCAGATAAGAAAAATAATGGGCAAAACGCCTACCACCACAGAAATCTACAGGAGTTTATGTGGCTACTTACATTAATCAGTATTACAGTAATTCCTAGAAGGCTCAATCCTGGCAAGAGACCTTCACTTCTGGTTTCATATACAGTATAAAAACAATTAAAGTATTAGAATTGAAAGGTGTCCTCTTCCCAAAGTACTCTGAACTGAAACACAAAATAAAAGGAAAGGAGACAGATAACGAGACAGGATAGACTGTATGATAAACTACATGATAAACTGCTTGGTCTCAGCATACCAGATATTTAATTACTGAAGAAATGTGCAGGCACCTGTTTAATGTCTTTGAACAAGGAGAATTTTAATGAAGGAGAATACTGCAGTAACAACAAGGATGTTTACAGGGAGATCCTCCCAAATGCAGCGAGCACCATGGAAGGAACAGAGATGAAGTGTGTGGCCAACAGCAGCAGTATCACAGGTCACTCAGAGGCAGACCTTGACTTCTCTGTACCGAACGAAAGCCAACAAAATTAGGAGAAAACGTGAAGTAAGGGCACTAAAAGTAAAAAGTAGTAGTTTGTATTTGATGCTTTGGAGAACTATTTAAGTGACGCTGGGCCCCAGCAAAGGAAGATTGTTTTATGAAAGCGAGAGAAGGCATGGGAGCATCACTAAAACATAAAGGAGATAGATATGAAGCAGAAAAGTTGTTACCAGCCTGGATGTGCACGGAGGCTGAATCATAACACTATCTAGAAACTACGCAGCGAGAACATGCAAGACAGTACCCATGTTACTCCGCCGCAGCTACTTCAGGATTTCACCTGCTGAACTGGCATCTTGCCAGCATCCAGATCAGGATTCAGGTAAATAATTCAGAGCAATAAATGCTCTACATAGCAAAGTTCTACAAGCAGAAAAGGTTTTAAGACATTATTAAAAAACTTTATACTAATGCATTACTGCTGGAGGTATTCACTTTCAAATACCAATCAAATGTCCAGCAGGACACTGTTCAGAAAACTACTTTGCTTATAACAAGGTCCAATTAAGATTATTCAGAAGAATAAGTAAGAGACCAAGACAAGATGTTTTGCTTTGAACTTATGTCAAAGATAAATCAATCGCCTACTTTAAAAACGCAGTTCACAAGAAATACTTGAGGTCTTACAAAAATTTAAATTTCAGGAGAAATTTATAAAGGAGTTTCAGTTGTTCGTACCTAGAGAGTCAGCGGAACTGGCTTCGGTTTTTACGGGACTAAAGAAGGAAGGAAACTTCCTGTGAACGAGCAGATACTGACAAAAGAACGATGCAACATGTTACAGCTGCTGTAGTTCAAAAGCGTCAAGACCCTCGTGCCCCTGTGGATAGCTGGAACAATGCAGGATAAATACTCTCTCAAGTGTCGGCCTCCTGCCCAGTTATTCTTTAAGGGAAAACACAAAAATCCTTGCTAGACATCCCTGAAATCTATCATTACAGATTATATTTTAAAACGTGCTTTCCTGCCTTTTGGCACTGCAGTCCATGGACTTGATTTCCAAAAGGCACTGAGTACCCACAGCCAGTCCTGACAAATGGGACATTTTATTTAAATACTATCTTTAGAAAGCCCAGCTTGAAAACTGGCTGCTCCATTTAATTTAAAATGTTCACAACCCTCCCAAGAATTGTTTTGGGTTTGTTTTGCTTTTTATAACCTTTATTTCTGGCCACACAGAATCTTTTTCATGGGAATTTGAAATTGCCTTTCTATCTGATAAATTTTAAACATCCTATTAAGCTCCATTTTTAAAAGACTTCTTCACTCATCATTTATCTGCTGGTTTATGTATCCCCAAAGCTGTTTATCTGTAGTATATCTAACCTACATCTCTCAGTTTCTCTTCTCCATATAAACTGCTCTGCATTTTAAAGTTCCATTTATAACACACTAAAAGCTGGACAGAATAGATTAAGCCAGACCTGTATCTATATTTAGACAAGCAGATTCAATGCTAGAGAAAAATAAGAGGACATTATGGATAGAAATTTAAAGTTCCAGCCCGTCAGACCAGACTTCTCTTGCTGCTCAAGTTTTAATACTCCAATTCATAAATATTTCCCAAATCACTTTAGAATGAAAAATTGAAGTTCAAGCCCACCTAGCACAGAATATAACTTCCTACAGGTTTATACGCAGCTATTCCAGTTTGCCTGTAGAAAAAAACCTAGCGAATAATCTGAAGTACTACATTCTGGAATTTTATAATCTCAACATCTAAAGAATGAATAACAACATAACAGTTTGGCCAACATTTCTCTGAAAGGAATTCCTGCAGGAAATTACAAAAAAACAACTTTCTGGGACTGGAACTAGTAAGACGGGATTGCTTCTCTACAAATGCCGTCTCCAACTATAGAAACATTTCCTTTGTCCAGAATATTATGACCACTGCATTCTCTGAGAAGTTTAATAGGGGAGTGCTAGAGAATTTACTTTTTCATCTTGGTAATGACACTTGTTGGTTTTGGAAGATTTTGGGGTTTTCTGGGGAGGGTTTTTTTTTCAGTACCTTTTTTGGATGAGATCCAAGAGGTCTTGGATTACTAAAACTAGATGTTTTCTGTCTGCTTCAGTTGATCTGTTTTGACTGTTAGGTGCAGTAACAGGCATTAAACAATGAGTGGAACCTATTTTTCCAGCTTGAGAAGTCCCAGCTGTTCACTGCAATGAGTTGAGCCACAGATGCAGGGGTCATACAGGTGAGTTTCTCATGAAGGCTTTTCACATAACCACAAAATCTGGGAAAACATCTCAGAATATTTCTTACAACCTGATTACAGAGAGAGGCAGGAACTGATCGAACTGACTAAACTTAGGGTAGGATTCCAATGAGGCAGCACACACGACAATTAAAAAGAAGAGCTAGGAAAGGTTACAAATATCAGGTAATGACTTCATCATATCAACAGACACAAACTTTCATAGCTTTTAATAGACTTCCTGCTTCCTAATATTAAATTACTTAAGTCAACACCATGAAAGAAAAACCACAATGTAAAGACTGATGTATTTCTACAGTGCTGTCTCTTGCTGTTGATGCCAAAAGGCTGGTACTACATTACCTATTTTATATTAGTTCTATTAACACATGCTCCACATGATGCCAGTGACTGACACCAATACAGATGCCTAAAATATATAAATAAAGCTGCGTGCACAGAATCACCAGCAGCAACGCTAGGTTGTTTTCCCTCCCACTGACATATTCTACTATAGTGGCATTCTCCTCAGTACTTTCTCTGTATGCCAAACTAAGATATGCCACAGTCCTTTGGAAGCAGCAAGAGGTCTCTCTCAGTGCTCCATATCGCCATGTAATTTTAAATAGCTACGTCTCTGGTACGTCACCATTTTTATCTCCCCACCTTGACTATGACTATCCTCACATGGAATACCAGAATCAGCCTGGATCCAGTATGATATCCCAAATAAATTAGTGTGTTACAACAGTCCAGTTCCAGGTCTACTTTTCATTTCACCTGAACTTTACTTTTTCTATATTGCCTGCAACAGTTGCTAGACAAGACCCTCCCCACTGCCATTATTTATAAATTTTGGCAACTTTCTTTAGACAATATTCATGCGTTCCAGCTTGAGGCTGTACATTCAGGTCCTCAAACACATTCAATCACAAGTGAATCAAAATTGTTCTTTCCTGTTAAATCCAGGTATTTGTGCATAAAGAACGCAGACAAATGATCCTAACTGGTACGTGTTGCAATGGATTTTTCACATGATTGAGGACTACTGACATGAATAATGGATGTATAAAGACATGGAGACTCCTATGTGAGTCTGGCTCCCACTGAAGTCAGAATTACAAACAGGTACTATACATGTTCCCAGCAATTCGTCTCTGTGCTGTACAAAGTGAACACAGACAACAAAGCCTCACCTTCAGGTCTGACAGGATAGTAAACAACAAAGCCTTTAGAAGCAAAATATTTTCTTAGAATTAACTTAAAATATAAAATTTTTATTAACTTTTCCTGCTCAGTAACACAGATAAAAAATGTTTGAAGACTATTCTACTGTCATTGAGATAACATAGTCAAATGGCTGCCAAAAAATTGAGATATTTACCTTTCCATCTTATTAATGAGACTTGATATCTGGGTCGCTGCTGCATTTATAAGAGCAGAGGCTTGAGAATCCCTTAAGTGTATCTTACTTATAATATACTTTCTGTAAGCAAATCTTCTATTCAGGTAATATTTCTTGCTAGCTTGCAAAAAATCCATTAGCTCTTCAATATCTCCCTACAGGAAAGAATGTGAATGAATATATTTAATTAGATGTAATGTTAATTTCAGCTAACACCTGTGGGTTTCAAACAAGATTTGTTCATTAACAGGGCAAAGTTAAAAAGCTCTTACAAGTGAAAACAATAAGCTTATATCAACTCTAACGATGATGTCAAATTATTACTGTTATTTCAACAAGACAAAATAAATAACATGCTGAGATTTTGGCCTGAATATCTCAATGTTGCGTGTACTCTCCTGCACAGTTAGTGCACCTCCTGAGAGCCCTGAGTTAATGGGTCATTTGATCAGGTATCCACAATTAAATACACATGTAACCCTACCAGTGTTAACAGAACTATTCCTGCTAAAGCTATCCACAGGCGGAAAGGTCTTCTTGAACTGGGACCTGAAGACAGCATGTGTTCAGTAACAGCAGTAAGTGGCACCAAGTCCTTCTTTCTCTTTTTTTTTCCCCTTTCTTTTTGTTTTACAATAAATTGCATGATTAAATAAAGGGTAATATTTTCAAAGGTGTCTAAATTGACTCCAAAGCCCAGGATAAGTCTTCCACATGTGTCCAGCAGAGTATGCAGGAAGTTGAGCCCACTCCACACAGGCTGGCTTAGAGGCTCCTGCTTCCAACAGTGGGGAACAGGAAGGGTTTAGGCACCTACAAATGGGTCTGGTAGAGACTGGAGTTAGGTGCACAACAGCTGACATTCTGCTAGCATCAGATACCCAAGACAAGGTCTGATACTTAGGTGACCCCTGTCTGAGCAGCCAAAACACTGTCAAAACCTTCCACTGGCTCTATCTTCTGCTCACAGCTCAACTGTCTCCTGCACAAGTGCTTGCTGTATGTATAGCTGACAATGGCCCATATGTGGCTTTTCTGTACTGTTTAACTGTACAAGGTTAAAATGCAACATCTGGAAAATAGGAGTCAAAACATGTAAGGCCCACTCCTAAAACTACATACACTGACAGATCTTAATGGTCTTTTCCAACCTAAATAAGTCTATGATTCTATGCTGAGGGCCCCATTAACACCAGCAAGGGTAGACCTGGAACGTGCAGAAGTTCGCTGCACGAGCACAAATCTGGTCTCAGGCCATCCTGTGGGGAAGGGCTTAGGGGCAGAGCTGCACCAACAGAGCTTTCAGGAGCTAAGCAGAGCCTCAAGATGTGCAGATCTATCAAAATATTCACTGCAAAACTGGGAATTTATATTACACAATTTCCCACTGTGTGGTGCAGACAGGTGAGCTACTGGTCTTATTTTCCCTGAGCAGTAAAGACAAGCTTTAAGCATTTGGGTGTTTCGGAAATATTACCCATGAAAACAAAAATCAACACTAAGTACACAATGTTGTGGCAAATACGTCTAACTCACTGTTGCAGAAAAAGGCTGTGCTCGTGCATCAATACACAGTTGTGTAGATTTCTAGATGTGCATAATGACAGCATTATACTTTTAAAAAATATTGCTACAAAAATTAGTTACAAAAGTGATAATATTTATCCTGAAACATATTTCCTGAAACTTTTGAGAAAAGTTACTGTGGGTTGGTATTCTGTCATTAGGTTAGGAGTGGAGTTATCATCCTATTACCTGTATTGTAGAGTAATCTTCCACTAACGTTTTAGCTGCTTCCATCTTCAGTTCTGCCTTGAAAGCAGCATTTATTATTTGTGTAAAAAAGATATTATGGAGCTCCTTTCTCTGGGTAACTGCCAGCTGTCTATAAGCCTTTGCAAAATACTCCTCCTGCTTTACCAGAAGGAACCTCTTCAGGTGGTCCTGCTCCAATCTGTGAAGTCTATCGAGAAGACTTCTGTATTCTACAGCAGGCTGCAGAGAACAGAGAAATAAATAAATCTTAGGTGATTTTCAGTATTCAACACATTTTAAAGTATCAGTGCTACTAGCTTATACATATTTTACGCATACTCTGATTACTGTCATTTCAGGTTTGAATGAAGACTAATACTGAATCAGTGTACACTTTCCACTGTTTTTGTCTATTTGAAATGACAGGGGTTGTACAGCTGTCAACCTCTTATCCAGATAACAGTTTCAAGGTATAATGAATTTTTTTTAGAATTTAGAGGCATTATTTAAGATAAATTATACAAAATGGCATGAAATTCAAAACAAAGACTATATATGAAATTAATTTCTTAGGATTTCAGGATTGATGAAGCCTATTAAAATTTAATAGGCTCATATAAGCCAGAAAACTGAAATAACAATAAGCATACATTTTAAAAACAATATAAAATCAAAAAAACTATTCTACTACAAATATCTGAAAGTTCTTATTATTGGTGACCTACTTTTTCTATTGGTTTCTACAAATTAATCCAAGAGATTCGTTATAGAGTTACAGCAATGGAGTAGAATTAAATGGCAATTAATTTTAAAGCTTCTTTGCAATAAATACTTTCTCATAGTTCTCCAGTAAGACTTATATATTCATAGTTTTAATCTCAGATGGCATAAACTCATTATAGAATCAAAACATACATGTCCCACAAAGCAAAGAACGCTTCTTATGCCACCAGAGCTACCTAACAGTACTTATGTTGGTCTTGTTCTAAATTTCATACTATTTATCTGGGGAGAACTGTCCTCTGCATTGAGGTCACCACACCTCACCCCTCATTCCCAAGAGACACAATGCAGACAGCAAATAATGAATTAAAAAGGCAGGGAATATACATTCTGTGTTTTGGCTGAGAAGGGGAGGCAGTTATTGCTCCAGCTGTTTTTCACTGCCGTCTCTTGGACATCAGTACACCCGCTGCCAGGAGCACAAGTGTGGGCCATCCCTAGCAGCACATCCTTTTGGACCAGGTTCCATGGCAAGTACAAAACCAGGTCCTTTCACAGATAGGAAAGTCAACAGCAAGACATTAGTATATGATAAATGGATCAGGACAAGTATTGAATTGGCCTTATGTGCTGGCTTTGGCTGGGATAGAGTTGATTTTCTTCATGATAGCTAGTATGAGGCTGTGTTTTGGATTTGTACTGAAAACAACGTTGATAATATAAAGATGTTTTCATTATTGTTCAACAGTGCTTACACACTGCTGCTCACATCATCTCACCAGTGAGAAGGCTGGGAGTGCACAAGGAGTTGGGAAGGGACACAGCCAGGACAGCTGACCTCGACTGACCAAAGGGATATTCCATACCATATGACGTCATGCTCAGCATATAAGAGGCTGAGGGAAGAGGAAAGAAGAGGGGGGACACGTTTGGAGTGATGGCATTTGTCTTCCCAAGTAACCGTTACATGTGATGGAGCCCTGCTTTCCTGGAGATGGCTGAACACCTGCCTGCCCATGGGAAGCGATGAATTCATTCCTTGTCTTGCTTTGCTTGCGCATGTGGCTTTTGCTTTACTTACTAAACTGTCTTTACCTCCATCCATGATTTTTCTCACTTTCACTGTTCTGATTCTCTCCCCCATCCCACAGGGATATGTGCGGCTTAGCTGCCGGCTGGGGTTAAACCACGAAACCTTAATTTTTTGTTTGATTCCTACCATTCAGGATTTCCAGTATAAACCAGACTGAACCAACACCAATGTATTTTGTGGAAAGAAAAGCCACTTTGCTGAGAGCATATTTAGCGTGAGTTCACATACTGAGTTTCAGTCAGGTCCCTCTCTCAGCAAAAGTAGGATTTATCTCAGCGAGGTCTAAGTGTTAGATGTCTGTCTGGTCTAGGCTCCTTCTATAACCAACAGAAGGAAAAAGATTTCTGCAGAGCACAATTCAATTATCCTTAAAAAGACGTTCACAAGTATCCCTTCCTTGCTGCCTCCTCCTTTGACTTTCTAGCACCTTCAGGATGTTCATATCCTACAGATATCTGAAAGCTCCCTAGAGTCACAATTTAAAATTCACCTGGAAACATCAAAGAAATTCAACTGCCTCACTAGCCCTGTACCACCAACTTTGTCCACGCAACAGCCTAATAAACCAAAGTTCTTCCTGAGAGTCTCAACATACTGTAGTACCTTTGATGGTTCATGCTCAGCAAAAAACTTATTTTGTCAAAACTACAATCATGAATTGTCATAAAAGTCCTTAACAAACAATTATAGGTATATGTCATGCAAATAAACTAAAAAACACAAAAAGCCCAACAAAAAACAAAACAGAAGGCCAAAAACTTAAGTAATATCTACAAAGAGAGCACACACAAGCAAGGGATATACTGGTCTAAGGGATTATACTCCTAACATGACTTACTTTATCTCTATAATCGAACTGAAACAGACATCTGGAAACTCAGCAGCATTACATTCGATGCCAACGTACCCACTTGTGCTCCAGAAGCAAAGCCCCACTGGGAAGTAACGAACTGCACTATTTATTCCCAGCAAATCATCCTCTTAATGTGAGCTATAATGTTAGACAAGCATGAAACATTAACGTGGGTATTTTAGCATTTTTAGCTTACACAGCTGAAATACTCAAAACTTAACAGAATTCTCTCCCAGTCACATGAAGTACAAAAAAAACCACCACCACAAAACAAACCCCCAAAAAAAGAGGGGGGGAAGAGTGGAAGTCAGTTTTATTGTAAAGAGCCAATATACTTGAAAAAAAGACATGGAAGACAGGAGCATGATTTTGTACATGGGATGTTGGACTGGTGACCCAGCCTCTATTTCCTGCTAGCGACTACCTATGAAATCCTGACTAATGACACTTACGCATTCAGAGATCTTTGAATGAAAGTGACACACATAACCACCAAGCTTTTACTCAAAGAGAGACTCTAAACTTGTTAAAGAATCATACTCTGCCTGAAATTACTTATGTCACTACTATCGAGATGTTATTTCCAAGAGAAGCCCACTCCCTGCTCTGCCTAAAATACAGATTGTTCTACTTGCCTTCACTCGGTTTGGAGGAAATCGGCCTTTGGTTCAACTTATATTCTCATTTTCTCCAAAAGAAGAATATAAATATTGGAGGCTTTTTACCTGGATTGCAAGGCTTATGATGCAGAGAGTTTGCTCTGCTCTGAATGTGCAAAATACTCTATACAGTGTCTGACTTGAGTTCTTCGGAACCACTGCAGTAAAATACAGTAAATAAAAATATACCACTTTGCAAGGGTTTAAGTGACTATAAAAAAAAAAAATTAGGGTAATGTCAACCTTTTGTTTTCAGGTGTCACAGATTTTCTTGAGATAAATTAATTTTCTGGTGAATTAAAACACAGTCTCTTAACAGCTACCCTAATTATGACATCTGAAATTTTGAACACATTTAAATTGTACAGCTCTTCTCTTAGAATCCTGGAATGGCCTGGGTAGGAAAGGACCTTAAAGATCATCTAGCTCCAATGCTCCTGCCACGGGCAGGGACACCCTCCACTAGACCAGGTTGCCCAAAGCCACATCCAACCTGGCCTTGAACACTTCCAGGGAGGGGGCATCCACAGCTTCTCTGGGCAACCTGTTCCAGTACCTCACCACACTCACAGGGAAGAATTTCTTCCCAACATCTAATCTAAATCTACAGTCCTTCAGTTTAAAGCCATTACCCCTTGCCCTATCACTCCATGCCCTTGATAAAGTCCCTCACCATCTTTCCTGCAGGTCCCTTCAGGCACTGGAAGGCTGCTATAAGGTCTCTCTGGAGCCTTCTCTTCTCCGGGCTGAACAACCCCAACTCTCTCAGCCTGTCTTCATAGAAGAGGTGCTCCAGCCCCCTGATGATTTTTATGGCCCTCCTCCGGACCTGCTCCAACAGGTCCATGTCCTTCTTATGTTGGGGTCCCCAGAGCTCTTTACTCTTCTAAGAGGACAACTCCACCATTCTAGTCTAAAAGAGAAACCACCTATATAAAACCACATATCATGCAAAATATCTTAATTTTATACCAGACTTACGCTTTCATTCATTTTCTTCATTAGTTCTTCAGCCTCTTCATTTGCATTTCTAGCTTTTTGGTGTTGAGCCTCCATCTTCTTCCTAGTTTCCAAATTACATTCAGCTGTTAAAGCCACCATCTTCCTTTCATACTCCTCTTGAATCTCTTTCTCCATGGCAAGAAACTGCTTCTTGAAAACTGAACTCATCCTCTTCTCCACATGAGGAAAAAGGCTGTGACTTAAGACCATGTTCTTCATCATCATAGCAATCACTTCTTTACATATCTGCATTCGATATGCCTCCAGATCAGCATCTGCCCGCGTCAGGCTGGCAACCTCCAAGCTGCAGAAAGGCAATCACGACTGTTTGAAATCACAGATAACAGGAAATTTCTATGAGAAAACAAGGATATCTAGATTCATTCAATATTGGGTAACTGAATGGCAGTCAGAGAAGTGCATGAATATCACAGCATATGAGTTTACTAACCATGATAATTACCCTTCATTTAAAAGTATGATGAGCCAACTTCTTCTACAGCAACTTTAATGTAGTATGTCCATTCTTGCATTTCCATTTCAGACGGAAAAAGGAAGAGCTTTTATTTAGAACTCAAAACATTCCCTCAGTTTAAGAGCAAACAGAAACCTTCCACAAAAAAAACCCCAAAACTCTGTTGGGAAGCAGATAAAGTGAATATCTGAACAGATCATAAATTTCACTGATTTTGTAAAATAGTTCTAAACTCACTGACCCATCTTCACTAATGTATCACTGCTTCAGAAAGTATTTTGATTATGTGCCAATACAAAGAAATTAAAATAGCTGGTATCTTTCTCTCATGAACATTAATAGAGTTCTAGAAAAGAGATTAAAACCAGAGGGAAATACAAGATTTTTTACAAAATGCAATAAATGTCATGTTGCCTATGTATATATTCCCATTTATTTTTAGACTTAATTGAATTGGAATGATAATTATTCTCATTCCATATAGTACGTAACTACTGTAAATTCTATAGCTTTGCATATTCTGCACTCATTTAAGGATTAAGAATTAGGTGGGTTTTGCCCCTGCATATCAATTTACATGAACACACAGCACTGTATCCTCCTCTATGTAGATTAAGCACACTAGAATTTCTTTGTGACCTACAAAATAGACTTTTAAGGGCTTAAATCCATTCTTTTTTTCAGCTAAGCTAAATTATTAGTTCGATTTGTTCCATAGTCACATCTTAGGATAAATTTCAAATCCATAGCAAAGGTCTTGGCAAGATTTGCAAGACAGAATGATACTACATTCAGAATGGTATATATCAAAGCATGCAAATCTATAAATACTTCACCTTTTTGTCAAACAATCCTTCCTTATGCAAGCAAATAAGGTTTAACTAAAAGTAAATCAGTGATATATTATTACCACTGCCCGTCTGTTAAAGACAAGAGATGTATTTTTCCCATTTAGAAATCAATGTGATGGAATTAAGTTGTTTTCTTACCATGACTCAAATACTTGAAGTATTTAAGAGACATTAGCTTAAGCTATGATAATCGATCACAAAGAGGCAGAGATATTTTTTATGTTGTAGTCTCTCAAAACTTGCAAAATGTACTGGCAACGTCCATACTTGTCATGGTGATCTGCTCCAGGGCTGGCTGGCTGCAGCTGCAAAACCTCCTCCATTTCCCCCCTCTTCCTCCCATTCTGGAGCAGGAATCCCTGCTGTGTGGGGCCAGATCCCTGTGCCTGAAGCATTCTTCACAGTCATATGAAGATCCCCAAGAGCTAGTATTTTCTATAATGCCCCAGCAACAATCCAGCTTCTCTGTGCTGTGTACAGATGGACGTTGCAGGACAGCACCTGCAGGTACACAGCCTGCTGGGGTGGCATTCAGCTACATCCACGGCCAAGTCCCCCAGGGCGCTGATCCCCCTCTGCTTGGGGACAGTCCTTCTCACTCCAGGACAGTGGGGCAGCCACAGAGGACAAGTGACAGCAGGATCAAGGGAACAGGATGCTGAAGGAACACAGCAAGCACTTCAACTGGGCAGCGCAGGTGTGTGTTTTAAGTCTGTTTACAAAGTCCTAGGACTTCTGCTGACATAGCCAGCTAGTACTAAGCTGTTTAGTTAGGACAACTGACTTCAAACAAGTAAGTGTTTCAGTTTTGTGCAAATGCACTTAAATAAAAAGACGGATCCAGAAAATGGGAGCTTTGTGCTATAACATTTCCCTAATGACTGTCAGGCAGTGGTAGGAGGCTCCCCTTTGTAGATTCACCCACTCATTATTAGCCTGTAAAATTCACGCCACCAGACTTATTTTTCTGTTTTAATTTCTGCTTCAAGTCCAGTAGCTCTGATTTAATTGAAGCATATCTGTCTTTTGTGAGAAACATCTCATCTTGGTTTTCAAGCATCCCTTAATAGAGAACTAAACAACACTTTAATTAATTGTTCCACTTGATAATTCCTTTAAGACCTAAAAATGGGCACCTTATCCTCAGCTTGAATTTGATTAGTTTCAACTTCCAACTCTCTTTGTTTGCTGGAATAACAAGTTCCTTAGTCATTACTTTTCTATTCTTCATGCGCGCACTGATAGATGGTGGTCACAGCATCTACTAACCCTTTCTTACTGAGGTGTGAAAGACTGAATTCCTCGGCTCTCTCAGAGCTCCACCATGTTGATACACAGCTTGTAACACAACATTTATTTCTTAGCATAAATGCAGGATTTTTTTCAGCATGCTTTGAAAAAAGACTAAGCCATTCCTCACCCACCTCCTTGTTATGTTTCCAGTCTTCTTCAGCAGTGATCCCAAGAACGAAAGCCAACACCAAACACCATCACATCATTTCCTATTGTTATCTTTCCCTCAGTCTTCCCAAGGCATTTCTTCTTATTTACTGCAAGTCATTATAGCCTAGACCTGATTTCATTTTGAGCAAGATTCCCATGCTCCTTCTGGCCCACAAAGAGAACTGCTGCCATATGCAGGAGGAGCAGTAGGTATAGTTCACCTGATGCTCATGTGTCAGCAAGCGAGTGATGAGGTTGTTAAGATCTCACATGTATTTAATCTGCAACTCTCACCCTCCATTTTCCTGACAGCACATCTGTGAAGAAGGCAATGAAGCACGTGAATTGTTCCACCAATCCAAGGGCAACAGCATGGAGAAAAAGTAATTACAACCCACAGTTCTCCCAGGTCACATCCTGGAAGACAGCAGCCAGACTGTTACCTTTTTTCAGTGGCAGCTGAAGAAAGGTTACATCTGTAAAAATTTGGGATCTATCTTTGACATGATGTGCTCTGCTTCTGGTCTGCCTCCTCCACATAGCAGCCAGAGGGAGTGAGACAAGTTCATCACACGCACCAGAAACTTTGCTTCAAGCTCGTACTCCAAGTGAGAGGTTGAGGGCAGCCTTAACAAGCTGCATCAATGTAGTCTTGGAGTCTTAGACACCAACAGTCAGTACAAAACAAGAATCCTGGACATATAATAAACCGAATGCTTTCAGACACAAGTCCATGTGAAGATCAATGCTTACAATCATTCAGATTAATATGCAATGTTTCGTGACACCTAGGAAAGAAATATCCTAACCTGACACTCCATGCCTCCTCAAACCGAGGTAGATTTAATAAGCTGCTCTAAATGTTCTGCACTCTGCTTGTTATAGCAATTCATGTTTTCAAAGGTCTCGCATGTCTTCCTGAGCATATTCAACATAATAGAAACATGAAAGCCAATGAAGTATAGGTAGCAGATGGCAACCTATTGATGAAAAAGATCAACGCTTCTGTTGGACAAAGCATGGAGAGAAAGGATGAGGACAGTGCAGAAGGTAGGTGGTACAAAAGCGTGCGGGGAGGAAAGGTGAACAGACACATAGAAAATGAAACTGCAAACAGCAAGTGTAAAGAGGTTTCACTCACTTGAAGAGGAAGAGGATTTAAAGATCTGTCAGAGAAGATCTGGGACGGGAGAATCCCAGACGCCAAACACAGAGAAGTAGAGAGAGTGCCTGAGCATCTGATGTCCTCCACAGACCTAATAAAAGAATACAGGAAAGCAGCTAGGGTCAGGAAAGAAACAACTATAGTTAATTTAAAAAGAACAAACACAACACACCACAAAAAAGGAAACCTCTCATTAACTACAAAATAATTGTGTCTTTAAGTCTTATTATTCAAATTAGAGACCCGCAGAGGGAATTTTTGAACAGGAGAATTCATAGCTGCTGAATTTAACAGTCCTAAAATGAAGTAATGGCTGACACATTTTTAAAACAAATTCAGAGTTTGCAAAGATAGGAAACTACTGTAACACAACTTTCTGAAGTCTAAAGGGCAGAGAAACATCCAGCAAACTCCCCTTCGGCGACATTTTCTCACAAAACAGAAAACCCTGTCATTTTCTGAAGACTCATCTCTCATCTGCAAATGGTAGCCAATTAGTAGCATACGTATTACAACAGCATCCAGAGGAGACTGGAGCCCTGTGGTAGAAGTTTCTGCAAAAGCATCCCTTTGCGATACACAAAGCTCTGCAAAACATGTAATTTAGGGCCATTTGTGGATGGCTTGTCTCCACTGACCCGGACGCCCCGCCGCACCACAGCACAGCAGCTGTCCCAGCTCCTGCTGGAGAGAGGAATGCTGCTGTGGAGGGACAGACAGACACACAACCACCCCCAGGCCGGTGGCACCCACTGTACCACCTGAGCCAGAGCAGCACGTCTCCTGTGCCCTCGGGCACAGTGCCCATGGGACAGCTGCAGTGAGGAAGGGAAAAGGAGGCCAAAGAAAAAGCATCATGGTCCGTGTTGCCTTGTCACACTTCAGAGAAGTGAAGATGGAGAGAGGGTCGGACAGGGAGAATCATACAGCTGAGATGTGAAACAGTATGTGCCAGTGCTTGCTTTAGTACCAGCAAGTTTAGGAAAGCCAATTCAAGTATAATGGGCATCAAAGGTCTTCAGCTGCAGATGTGGTTTGTTTCCTAAATCATCCATTTATACAGGGGTTAATGATACAAGATCAATAAGTTGGGCTGTGTTTTATTTTCTTTCTTGTTTTAGTTTTGTTTGTTGGCTGTTTTTTTGGTTTTGTTTTTAATTGCTGTGTCAAGGCAGACAAACACTTCAGGGCAAGCATTTATGCAGGCTGCAGCACCACAAGGTCCAAACCTTTACAGGAGACCAAAACTGTGCTGAAGTAGAAGCAGCGATAACAGCATGAGGTCTGAACAGCCACCAACAGCTACCGACTGCTCAAATTCTTCAGCCCTCCCATGCTGGAGCGGGGCACATTGCCTTTCCCCAGTCTCG